CCCCCCCCGCCTCGGACTCGCCTCCTCCCTCCCCACCCCCCGCTGGGTGCCCCCCCAGGCCGCTCTGGAGGGTGCCCCAAACCACTCCCGCACGTTACCAGGGGGAGGAAGGGTCATAGCAAGAGACTGTAAGACCCTGTCCAGGGGTGGTGCTCTTGGGGGTTAGCTGGGGCTCTGGGCCAGCCTTGGCCGATACCCCCTAGCCCAGCCCTCTGAAAGCCATGGTTGGTTTTAGGTGAGCACTTAGGCCCCTGTCCTGCTGGAGAGCCTGCGTCAGCAAGTCTCTACCAGAGCTCCGGGTCCTCCCGGCAGAGAGCTCCTGGCAGGATCAGGGCCTTAGGGAAGTGCTGTCTAGTGGGTAAATTGCAGGCCTGGGACTCCTGGGTTCTAGTCCTGCCCCTGTGACTGATCTGCTGGTCGGGCGATGCTGGCCCTCTTTAGCCAGATCTCCCGAGATGCTGAGCCGTGGGCTGCTCTCATTGGCTTTAGTGGAACTGCGGTGTGCTCAGCACCTCAGGAAATCAGGCCTCTCCCTGGGACGCAGCGTCCCCCGTGGGGAAGTAGGAATTCCTGTCAATAAGGCCCGGCTCTCAAGGCTGCAGGGAGGTGGAATGAAATAATGGCTGCAAAGAACCCCAAGGCCTCTGGGCAGAAGAGGCTAGGGAAGGGCCTAGTGTGGAATTAGCCCGTGTGGTGATTAGTCCATGGTGCTGATTGTCAGCAACCTGTATCATTCTTGAGGGGAGGGAGCCGTTTACAAAGCAGCAGCCCCCGTCTCAGACCTCTCCGAAACTTACCTGTAGAGGAGAGTCATTCATTTTTGGCCTCATTTTTCAAGCATTTTTAAGCTGTCATAGCTTGGCAGGTCTGTAGCTGCAGTGTCAAGATTTTGAATTATCCTGTCAGTAATTGTTTTCTGATTCATCAAAATGATAGATGGGGAGAGAGAAAGTGACAGATAATCACCAGTTGGGGATCTTCAAGGGTACCCCTACAAATGTTACGGGTGGAGAGAAGCATGTGTGAGTTCTCTCATTATTGGGTCACCTTTGCTGTCGGAACATTTAGAAGGAGATGTTCTTAGCAAGTGGGTGACTGGAAAGCAAGATGCAAGCCAGTTTGCACAAGTTGTAGTAAGTAATTCATTCTTTAGTCTGTGTCATTGCTGTGAAAGCAAATCACATTGCATCAGTTACCGGTAGTTGTCCCCCCGCAAAGATCGCCGATAAATGCTTCCTTTTTTGCCTTGTTCACTTAGTGTATCTTGTACAGACGGTCTCTCTGCCTCCTCAGCCCCTTCCTGCGGTGGGAGTTGTGTGGGTAAAGCTCTGTGCATCTCTTTTGGAGACTGTCAGGGATAAGTAAATCATCAGACCGCCAACTGATGCTTCTAAGTGATCCCTTATCGAATGTGGTGCTGCATGCAGAAGGTGCGTTGCACAATTGGAAGGGAGTTAGGGACGTGGATGTTTTTACTCATTTTTGTTTGCCTTGTTTTCCTGGTAAATCTAGGTTTACAATCAGATTCCCCAAATACGGGGCTATTGCCCAGCTGAGAGGACTCAGACAGCAGAGACCAAAGGTCTGTTTGGTGCTGCTTCTGTCCATCATCCCAAAGGGCTTGGTCTGTGCATCTCTTTCCTCTGATAAGGCTCCTCCCCCACTCTAATGGAATCTCGTAAGGGCAGTTGCCTGCATCCAGGAGGTGTGTGTCTGGTGCAGGGGAGGGAACCAAAGAGCAGTAAGAAGGAATCTCCAGCCATGTCCAAATGTAGCTCAGCTGGAGCAGGACAGTTTTGTCTTTCAAGAGCTAACGCCCTTCCACATGCTGCAGGGTCTTGTTGGGAGCAGGGCTTTGGAGTGGAGCTGGAGCGCGGAGCAGCTCTGGAGCAGTGGAGCTGCAGGTTTTTGCCTGGAGCTTGCTCCAGAGCCGGAGCACAGCTCCAAAGCCCTGGTTGGGAGCCCTGTTTTATTTTGCAGTAGCAGACAAACAGGAATTTATTGATTGTGCCTTGACAGTTGCAGTCCCTTTTAAAATCAATGCATAGAATTGATACAGCACTCTTCATCTTCCAGGGGCTTCCCAAACCTTATTCATAGATTGCAAGGCCAGGAGGGACCATTGCGATCATTTCATAGAATTGTAGGACTGGAAGGGACCACGAGAGGCCATCAGGTCCGGTCCCCTGCACTCTTGGCAGGACTAAGTATTGTCTACCAGTGTTTCTCAAATGCAGCCACCAGGGCCTTTTCTTGCAGCCACAGCCTCCTGGGCTCGGGGGCGGGGGGGGCGCAGTGTCCCCTCTCCCAGGGCCACACAGACACTGGAGGTGCAGGCAGCTGGTGAATTCCCCACTTTCCCAGGCTTTGGCCACAGGGCTTCAGGCTCCATCCACATGGTAGCAGGCTCTGGTTCCAGGCTCACCACCCCCTGCTGCCTCTCTGCCCACCAGGGCTTAATTTGTCCCAGGGTTTGCTGTGGCTGAGTAAAGCTGCTGTGAAAAGTGATATTAACAAACATACAAATATCACTTTTCACAGCAAAAGACTTACCAGCTAGCAAGTCTGAGAAGAAAAAAAAGTGCAACCAGAAAAGCAAAAGAAACAACAACAAAAAGACAAGAACATGCAAAGCACCTTCTTGCTGTTTTTATTCTGTTTAGGTCCAGTAAAGAATAGAGACAACTGTAAATTATTTTTAAAAAACCCTACCTAAATAAATTACAGTGATTTGGACATGTATATGCACATATTTATTTGTTTTTCCTAAAGTTAATCAAATATTTTAGGAAAAATTGTCAGCATGGCCACCAGCAAGAGTTGGTGGCCACACTCTGAGGCCACCAAAAATTTTGTTGTGAGACCCCCTAGTCTAGACCAGTAGTTTTCAAACTTTTTTTCTAGGGACCCAGTTGAAGAAAATGGTTGGTGCCCGTGACCCAACGGAGCTGGGGATGAGGGGTTTGGGGTGCAGGAAGGGGTTCTGAGTTTGTGGGGGCTCAGGGCTGGGGCAGAGGATTGGGGTGTGGGGTTTCATAGAATATCAGGAAGGGACCTCAGAAGGTCATCTAGTCCAACCCCCTGCTCAAAGCAGGACCAATCCCCAGACAGATTTTTGCCCTAGATCCCTAAATGGCCCCCTCAAGGATTGAACTCACAACCCCGGGTTTAGCTGGGGCATGGGTTTACCTCGGGTGGCTCCCGGTCAGTGGCACATCCGGGGTGCAGAGACAGGCTTCCCGCCTGACCTGGCACTGCGGACCACGCTGCGCCCCAGAAGCGTCCAGCAGCAGGTCTGGCTCCCAGGTGGAGGCGTGCAATTGGCTCCACGTGGCTTTTGCCTGCAGGCACCGACCCCCTCCAGCTCCCATTGGCTGGTTCCCGGCTAATGGGAGTACAGAGCTGGTGCTCGGGGGGGGGGGCAGCACGCGGAGTCCCGTGGCTGCCCAGCCTAGAAGCCGGACCTGATGCTGGCCACTTCCAGGACGCAGCACAGTATGGAACAGGTAAGCACCAGCCTGCCTTAGCCGGGCAGCACCACCAATGGGACTTTGAACGTCCCGGTCGGCGGTGCTGACCAGAGCCGCTAGGGTCCCTGGGTGCTGAGCCAGGCAACCCAATGCCTTACATGCCACAACCCAGTCCTGGGTCATGACCCGAACTTTGAAAAACACTGATCTAGACCATCCCTGACAGGTGTTTGTCTGAACTGCTCTCAGAATTCTCCAATGATGGAGATTCTACAACCTCCCTAGGCAGTTTATTCCAGTGCTTAACCACCCTGACAGCTAGGGAGTTTTTCCTAACGTCCAACCCAAACCACGCTTGCTGCAATTTAAGCCCATTGCTGCTTGTCCTGTCCTCAGAGGTTAAGAAGAACAATTTACCTCCCTCCTCTTGTAACAAACTTTTATGCACTTGAAAACTGTTAACACTCATGTCACCCCCCTTAGTCTTCTCTTCTTTAGTGTGACCTCCTCCGGTATAACACAGGCTCTAGAACTGCCCCCAAAGAATTCTAGAGCAAATATTTTGGGAAAACATCCAATCTTGATTTAAAAATTGTTAGTGATGGAGAATCCACCACAACCCGGGGTAAACTGTTCCAACGGTTAATTACCCTCCCTGTTAAAAATTTACACTTTATGTAGCTTCCCCCTCCAGCCATTGGGTCATGTTATAGCTTTCTGTGCCGGTTTGAAGAGCCCATTGTCAAATACTGTAGGGCAGGTTTTCTAATTCTTTAATCACTCTCATGGCACTTCTCTAAACCTTCTCCAATTTATCAACCTCCTTCTTGAACCGTAGGCACCAGACCTGGGCACAGGGTTCCAACAGCGGTAGCACCTGTGCCAAATACAGAGGGAAGATCACTTCTCTGCTCCTACTCGAGATCCCCTGTTTATGCATCCAAGGATCGCATTAGCCTTTGCAGCCACCAGGTTGCACAGGTACTGCACGTTCAGGTGATTATCCACCACAATCCCCAAATCTGTTTCCGAGTCACTGCTTCCCAGGGTAGAGTCCTCCATCATGTTCT